ACTAGTGGATTAATTTCACAAAAAAATCATGGTAGTAAAAACATACAAACTTAAAAATAAACTTTACAATTACAATTGAGAAAACGGCTGTTTTATAAATTTGGAAACATAAAAAAATTCCGCATTTTATTGGTCTAGGAGTCGTTATGCTACGACAATATTTTTTTGTTACACGACGTCGATTTTTTACGAAACACTCAGAAAAATGCTATAAATAGAATTACTAGTTCAATTTTTCGAAATATTCTTTCGTCTATTGTAATCTGTGTATTACTAAAGTGTCATACGATTGACATTGTAATTGTTACCATATATACATTATAGAATACTTAAGGATATGTCAGGGGTAATTATTTAAAATGTCTAAATTTTACTATATCTTTTATCTACCTATTTTTAATAGCGTGTTAAATTCAAACTAGCAAAATTTCTTCTTCAAAATTCTTTCTTCTATTCTCAGCCGTAGCCAGTGAGTCAGTATTTAAATCTGGAGAGCTAAAAACCGTCCGAAAATATAAACTAGCGGGTACAATGAGGCAGAGATAATTAGTGGCGCTCATTTGTCGGTGATGTAACGTAGCCCTCCTGCGCGGACGCCAGTCGGTGGCGCCACAACAAGCTGCGCGTGTACTCCAGGAGCCACATCGTATTGTTGAGTTTACAATTTTGTACATGCTTATTTACACACTGTGAGCGTAGGTATACAGGCGGACTGCTTTGGAACTAACTGTTGGCTGTTTTAAAAAGAGCTCAAATGCGTATATAGCAAAAACAGACTACACCGTTACTACCGTTTTGTAGTTGTAAGTAATTTAAATATTCTCCTTATGTACTTAAAAATGACATGAAAATCAATATGTAAACAAATTCCATTTTATCAACTAGTATGAATTGTTAGAGTTAAACAGAAATAACTTTTTTATAAAAAAAAACCGACTTAAAGGTTCGTGAAATTACATTTATTAGCTTGGTTCACAAATTATCAATTATATGTGGACCGATTTGCATGTATTAACAAGTTATGGCGTAATATACATACAAAAAAATACAGTCGAATTGAGAACCTCCTCTTTTTGAAGTCGGTTAATAAGAGAGAACTGAAGAACAATATGTAATTGAGATAAGTCAGTTATCAACGTGATGTAATGAGGGCTAGCACGTGCGTCGGCGCTTCCGTGTGGCGCCAGCGGAATAAGCCCATGAGATAAATTACTTTATAGTTAATAATACATTGTTGAAAAAATACAATACTATTTATTGTTACAAACTTTGATAAACTACAATGATGTATATTATTTTAATGGAGTTTCCTGGTTCTGGGTGTAGTTTTTGAGACGCTTATTTATACATATTGAGTTATGTTGTCCACAATATCACCTGTTAAATTAAAGTTGTGCGACGATTTTTACTCACAAACAACAAAACGTCAATCCATTTAAAAATATACATTGAAAATATGGATAGTTTTGCTAACTACACTATATGTATAGGTTATAGAAAATATTTTATTCGTGAGAAATGTGTTTCGGCTCTCGGACTACAGGACAAATAGGGCGCGCCATTGACCATGTCTTTCATTGCGACTATTGCCGCTAAAACGGTTGTAATGACATCTTGACAGTTAAATCCAATATGACGTGAGCCTTCAACTCAACCAACTTATAAGTTCAGCGAAAGAAACTCTGGACTAGTCATTTCGTAATTTGCAGCAAGTCTTCTTCTAATTGTTTGATGCTTATTTTTATTTTAAGACTATTGTATATTATATAATATTGCAAAGAACCGGTCCACTCCAGACTTAATTTACATTTAGCAAACACGGCAACTTATAGGTACAAATTGTCACTATTTCAAACTGCTAACTTGATCGCTTTGGAAATAACGTACGGTACAATTTTCAGTAAAATATTGCAACAGTCATCATTAGGTGTGAACCTATACCTAATACATAATATAATATAATCGTCATCATATCAGCCGGAAGGCGTCCACTGCTGAACATTGGCCTCTCCCAAAGATTTCCAGACTAGCCGATTGCATGCGATGTGCATCCATCGGTTAACCGCCGCCCTTACCAGGTCATCCGTCCATCTAGTAGGGGGCCGTCGCACTGAACACCTTTAGGTTCGTGGTCTCCATTCGAAAACCTTTTTAATATAATATAATATATGATTCCTAAGTGGAAAAAAGACCTATACACTTGTAGCTATAGGTCTTCTAAAAAAGGTGGATTTGCCTTAATTTCCATACATATTAAGCGACTATGAAAAATTCTGAATCTTGTGTCTTGTATTCTATCCCAGAGTAGATTTTACAACATTCACAAGAAAATATAGCTGCTCTATTCATAGTGTGGAAGTACTGAATAAATTTAGTCAGCAGCAACGTTAAACTTGTATCTTTGTAATTGCGTCGGACAGTAATTGTGTTTGGAGCCAAATTAGTTTACGGACAAACGCCCTTAATGTTCCCTTTAAACAGATGAGTGATGGCCGTAACGTGACGCAGTACAAATCGGACGACTCAACATAAATACTTACTGCTTACTATTTTTATGTTAAGTCATTACGAAACCGAATTTTTTGTTGTGAATTTATTTAGTTCATAAACAAGTGTTTTGATTCGACGATCAAATTACATATCATGCCACGTGTTATTATATAGAACGTTTACTTTTCATTACATGGATGGTGCTGAATAATGTGATTTTTTTTGTTAATTGTCACGGCTTTTGTCTTATTCAAAAGAATGACATACGGTAGTCATTCGTTTATTTTTTAACCGACTTTAAAAAAGGAGGAGGTTCACTATTCGTTTGTATTTGTTTTTTGTATGCATGTTACGCGATAACTCCCGCATTTGAGAATCGATATTGATGATTCTTTTTATTTTTTTATTTATTGGGAAGAAGTTACCTTAGTAGTGATCCCATTTAAGGAATGAAAAAAATATTCCACCTCTAAGGGGATGAATCCGGTTTCGTGCACTTTCCAGTAACCGATTTAATAAAACTTGGCAAATAGATGTAATGCCACGAACTATTGAGGTCGATTTTTTAATACTCAGTACTGGGATTATATTTAGGAATAATACAGAATTTCAAATAATGATTTTACTCATGTTCACAAAATCTTTCTGATAGTTTTTATTAAAGAAGGTTGTAGACAAAGGATTTAGTGGCTTTTTTCCCCAAATAATATTTTATTTTCAAATTTTTCTAAAAAACAGTTTTTTTTATAGTACCAAGTGATGAGACGAGCATGTGGTGCGCCTGGTGGTAAGCGACACGCCTATCCATAACAGTTGCAGTGCCACTCAGAGCTTTAAATCGCAAAGATCTCAGGGGTCACTGCCACTGCACCCATCACCCTGAGACATTACTTGACAAGTCCCATGTGCCTGTAATTTCACCAGCACCCTTACCCTACCAAAGCGAAACACGGCGGCAGAAATACGTAAGGTACTTCCCTGAACGAGCTCTTTCACATGGAACTCTATTGCTTTTTTTATTTACGTCATTTTATTATTGAGAGTGTGATATGACGTTCATCCTGTTTACTGCAATGTGCACCAGTATTTATTTGACTGATATGAAATAAGCAACCTTTAATTTCTTATACTCTAATCCAATTCAGCATTGACTCCTTATTTGTTTATTGCATTGCAATATTTATGCTACAAGCGCATAATGCATCAGTTTATTAGCCGGTTCCGCTGTTCTAGGAAAGAATAGTTAACGCCTACGACTGTAACTTACTATTGATTAGGCAGATTTTTATTGTTGACTTTTGAAATAATTCATAACTGTACAGCAGCAATTTTAATTATTACGATCATTGACTTACAATTATATGGACGTCGGGTCCGCGCTAAAAAGTGTCCGCGCTTGTAAGGCGCTAAAATCGTATACAGAGCGCCAAACTCCGCTTTAGTCTTCATTTGTTCGACTGACAGCGCGATACTGCGATGACATTACAATTTAAATTTCGAATAGGTTGACTTGAGACATTTTTTTCGTGGTTTTTGTATTAGACCCGTCGTCCATTTATTTGTAAGTCAATGATTATGATCAAAGAAAATAACAACTCAGTCTAGCGTGTGTGACAAATTGACCAAAGAGACAATAACTTCTTGCCTACAAACCTGGCGAACTTCTATCATAAACAACGCTTTTGGTAGTCTTTTCTTTTCAATTTAAAATTTTCATTAATATTCTTGTAGGTTATCCGTATCTAACACAAACCTAACATTTTTGGAATCTCCACCATATGGAACAATCTGTTGTTTACTTTCAAAATTCTTGTAGAACGTGTAATTGCAGTCGTGTACAACGTCATGAGTATAGTTTTCCTACGGCTCTTACTGTCGTATTCTAGAACTCTACTCAATGCTCAAATCAGGATTTGAGTGTGGATTAAAGCACTCGAAATCATACTCGAGTCCCTGCCATTAGGGTCGTATTTCCAGTGCTTGAAGTCATACTCCGATCCTGACTTGAGCATTGAGTAGAGTTCTAGAATACGACCCTGAGTCTTCCAAATTTAAATGTTCAGACCATCACACAACTTGATCTTGAAACCATTTTTTCAAAATTCTCAATACAAACTAAATTTTATAAGTGAAACTATTTTTTCATATCTAATTCGTGTATATTTGTATTTTCCAACAAAGCAACATTTCGGGCTTATTTTTAATGATACCAAATCGTGCGACGAACTAGTCGTGCGCCTGGTAGTAAGCCACACGCCTGTCCACAACAGTTGTAATACCACTCAAAGCGAAGCATAAAGATCAGAGGAGCATTACCGCTGCACCTGTCACCTTGAGATACAACTTGAAGTCCCACGTGCCTGTAAGTTCACCAGCATCCTTACCCAACTACGGATTTTTACAGGTGCTATGGTCACAGCTGACTAACTGAATATACGCGATTTAATTCCGATAAAATAGTTTAATTTTTACCGTGTAACTCGCTATTAACTAAATTTCTTCTTCTTCAGGTATCTACTCACACCGACACCTGGATCCTTCCCAAGTGCAAGTGGTGATCCCCAAGAAGGTGTCGCACGATGGCGCGCTACTGTCCAACACGGTCGATCATTCCCATGCTCACGGCCACGCGCGGGCGCGGCGGGACCTGTACGGGGTTGACCACGAGCTTCCGCATGAATTGCATTATAACCTCACAGTGGATGGACGGGAATTTAGACTGGATCTAAGGTAAGTTTTTATATAATTTAATGCCCAATTTTTCCCACCCCTGAGGTATTTTTTTATATAATACCAAGCGAGGGGACGAACAAGTCGTGCGCCTTGTGGTAAGCGACACGTCTATCCGTAGCAGTCGCAGTGCCACTCAGAGTTTTAAAGCCCAAAGATCTTAGGGGCACTGCCACTGCGCCCGTCACCCAGAGACATAAGTTGACAAGTCCCATGCGCCTGTAATTTAACCATCACCCTTACCCTTCAAAACCGGAACGCAGAAATATTCGCATGCTTCGCGGCAGAAATAGGTATGTACAGTTTTGCCACTGCAGCGCTTCTACAAGATAATGACTAATGACGAGATTCGTGACATATCGTGTAGGTAGCTTTTTAAAAAAACATTAATTTTAATAAAAATCCCTTGATGTATTTTTATGTACCACTTGATTGCCGTATTCATTCGTTACATTTACCTACCGCAGAGATATTGTAGGAACGATCTAAATCTTTGAATCGAAACTTTGTGCTTACATTGTAACAGCTATAAATGATCTCAAATTACCGGGCAGATAACGCAGAAATAAAACATTTATCAAATAGTAAGAATGTCATGCCGAGTCTCATAAACTTAAATGTTGATATCATGCTGATAGTATTTTGCTGTTGACGGTACTCCAGCGGTTATGTTGGCGAATCAGCGCTACCCAAGATATTAATGCTACATGGTCTTCTGTAGTGTACGTCCATTCGTGCGTCGATTTTATGGAATGAGGATACACCAGTTGTAGTCCCATTTAAATTTGAAGAAAATATTCCACCTCTAAGGGTGGCAAACTAGGGGATGGATCCGGTTTCGCACACTTTCCCTTAACCGATTCCAATAAATCTTGGCAAATATATGTAATTCCAATAAAAAAGCCGATAAGCCAATTTTTGAGGTTTTCTTTTTATAAAAATGTTATGTTATTTGTGATTAGTAGAAATCGGAATGTCGTCGATTTATTCGTATAAAATTGTCTGTGTAAATGAAAGATGAATAGCACGTGCGTGCGCGCCGGCGGGCCAGCAACAACTGTATCGTTATGTACGAGTACTATAATGGT